ACCAGAAGAATTGGCCCTAACCACCTTTATTTGGAAAGTAGTTGAGTCAAGATTCCCCATGATAATACTACAAGGTTCTCAAGGCACTAAACCCTGGGTCCATTGTTGCGCATCGTCATCCGGGGTGCTATTCTCTGACAAGGACTTCTATTGATGATGGTTTGTCCTTGGCCTTGGGAAAGAAGTATCAAATTCCCGAAGGATCAAGCCTAGAGCTTAATGTAGACTACTACTCACCTTCATCCACGGTGGTTTCATTATAACGGTTTACCTTGCAGATAATAATGGTATATGTAGGCAAGTGGGGGGAGTCTTGCCCAGAGACCGAGAGCGTAACTACAATGACCGTTCTCCTCAGCAAATAGGCCATCACTTCCTAGCCTCAAGCTCATGATATCCACTGCTGCGAACCGTCGTCCGCGATATTACTAGTTGCGGCCGGTTACCTTTCTTCATCGTTGCTTGTGTCTGTGGCTATCTTTACTCAAGGCACACGTCGAACTACGATAAAGGTTCTCCTAACTAGATGAACCATAAACACTCCAAAGTAAACACGGCTACTAGGCATCGCCCCATTCCCGTACCGCACTCAAAAGACGAACGTACACGCATTAAACAAGGATAAGTAACAACCATAGTCTAGCAAGTACCCGGCCGTGGTCTTCCGGCACCTCCATGTCCACCAGAACTCCTCCATGTGCTACTGGGGGCAGTAACGTCCAGGCCTAGCATGCCCTTGACGAGGACGACGTGTTCAAGGATACTCGTGCTCAGAATACTGTCATTGGCGAATATATAGCGTACCTTCACCGTCGCCTTGGTCCTGTCTCATTCACAATAATGGAGAAACGTCGCCCACCACATTAGCAACAGTGTTCCATCCTGCGACGAACATATACATACCGACCAACACCCAATAACAATCACATCCCTCATGTCGTAATCGAAGACGAATGTGCAAACGGCGAACGACGACTAACGACCAAGGACGAACAGAAGCCCAGCTGAACAAAGGATATTCACACTTACCAGCAGCCCCATGCCTCGTAGGCTATCCCACACATAATAACAGGCGGCAAGCAGGAACAGCCCGACGGGCGACCATTAAAGAGCATAACGACATCCATCATCGTAGTCGATTCATACTAGACTGACCAAAGCAGATTGTCACCAACGTGAATGCCTCCTACACGCAACGGAAGAGTACAACAGAAGACGGAACGTGTTTGAACTTGATGATTAAAATTATGATATGGTCTGATGCACCTGTATCTACACTCGGGTGATCCAATGATCCGCTTCCATCCCAAATATGGTTTATCGTAACTGAGTATATATACAGCCCCAGGGAGGTACTCCTGACAGAAAACCTCAGGGCAAGTGGGGAGGGGAAATTTACCCCCTTTTTGTTTTTGCTTTTCGTTGGCTCATCACTCATTCCGCCAACGTTCTCTTTTGCTCATGTCTAATAACTCTGATGATGATGATCTCATATGTCTAGTGCGTTTCTTCAATTCAGCTCACGCCACATGACGGGTAAGAACACGACACTCGCCCTCCAGAGAATGAGAATGCCGTCAATGAGCGCCAGCGGCGCCTTCAAGAAACCGAAAACGCTACCGCTCATGAGGTTGAGAGCGTTGAGCCAGATGGCGAGGAAGGCGACGCTGAAGAAGTGGTACGCGAGCTTGCCCGGCTGGTGCATAAGGCCGCCCATGAGGGCCATGGGCTCGGAGGCGTGGCCGCGCTGGAAGTAGGAGAAGCATCCCATCTGCAGAGCGCGCAGCTGGCGGTCGTTTGCGGCGAAGAGGGCGTAGAGTGCCATGGCCAGCACGTTGATGATAGACGTGAGGCTCTTGCGGCGCCAGTGGAACTCGCGCAGGACTCCTTTCAAGGCCACGGGGTCGGCGAGGTCGCTGACCCGCGAGGGGTGGAGCAGGTCGGAGAGAATCACGCAGTCGTTAAAAGCGACGGTCATGCCGCCGCCAGTGAGGGGATGACGCATGTTGAGGGCGTCTCCGAGGAGAAGCATGCCGTTCGCCGTCTGGCGGGATGGAGGAAGATATGAGTTGGGCATCGATCGGGGGATCTTGCCGTCGGCAAGAGCAGCCTCGAAGCATGGCCGCATCTGGGGAGGTAATGTGGGCATGACGACGTTCTTGATGTAGCCACGAACACCGCCAGCGGCGGGTGAGGCCTCGGGGATGTTGGCGGGCACGTCGATGAGCGCGCGGGTCTCGTGGGTGCCAATCTGGTACAGGAGGACGGGGAAGGCGTTGCCGATGCAGACATGGCCGTAGCCGGGCGAAAGCATGGGGGCGTCGATGAGCTCGAGGGCGTAGAACTTTGACTTTACGACGGGTTCTTGCGGCAAGTACTCCTTGCGGAACTTGGAGGCGTACCCGTCGGCGATGATGGTCAGCTGGCCAAAGAAATAGTCGTCCTTCTTCTGGCCTGTCGCGGTGTCTGTCGTCTTGGATCTCACACCAAGTACCGTATCCTTATCGTCACCTTGTATCGTGGCTGTCACCTCGGTCTCGACAACGGTAATGTTCTCCTGTCTCATGCATGCCTTGCGGAGGTTGTTGATGAAGCGACCATGGTGGAAGCATCTGCCCTCCTTCTGCTTCGCGCTTGCGGATACGGCCTCGCTCTCCGAGGCATGGATCATGCGGCCGCTCTCGTCAAAGGAAGGGTAGGGGATGTCGATTCCGTCTCCGTGGAAGCTGACTTTGTAGCCGTAGCAGGGAATTGCGTCGATGCCCTCAAGGCAGTCGGCCAGGCCCAGCTGACGCAGGGCGACGATGCCGCCGGGTTGCAGCAGCTCGCCGACAATGCGATCGGGTTCCTTCATCCATCTCTCGAGTAGGAGTACACTTCTTCCCTGCTGGCCCAATGCGTATGCAATGGCGCAACCAAAAACGCCGGCGCCGACGACGACGACATCGGCCTCGTGGTACTTTGTGCGGCGCTCGGCGCGGGCGTCGGCCGCTGCTGTTGGACTTTCGATCATTTCAATTCGACTCTTGGGGGTTTGTCTGGCTGGGTATGAGTTGCTGTTGAAGTGTATGGTGGCGGGGGAGATGGTGGTGTTGCCGATTGTCGTGATGGGCCTGTGCGAAAGGACGCTTTGGTAGGAAAGGCCGCAAAAAGGTATGTTGAATGTCACCTTTGAGGGGAGCCTCTAATTCGGTCGTTGGGAGTGCGCTTGGAAACGTTGGGGGAAGTGTTTGGCTTTGGATGATAGGAAGAGCGGGAGGGGAGGGGGAAAAGAGAGTGAGGCTGGTTGCCGCTATCGGGTTTTATGAGAGACCAGGCGAGATTAGAAGAGGTGGAGGGGTGGGAGGTGGTTAGACTTGTCGTTCATGTCCCGCCTCGAACGATATGGTGGCAGATGAAATCCAAAGAAGGAAAAGAAGCGTGATGAGTGGACGATTCAGTTTAGCTGGGGCCCCTGCACTATAGCCTTTTGCCAGGGGGTGAGTAAAATGTTTCTTTCCGCGTTGGTTTTTGTTTCCTCACTGACTTCAGTCACTACGGGAATCAGTCTGATCAATTCCAGTGTAGAGCTAATTAAGCTACGGTACATGAGATGGTACATCAAGGTGTGTTTGCGCTCAGTCTGTTATTAGTCGGGCCACCGAAGAACATCCTCTGTCCATAGGCACAAAGACAGACCATAAACCCCTGGGACATCAAGACAAAAGGCGAAGCTCTCGGAGGATCCAGAAAAATTACAGAAGGCGATCTCAACGACAAGTCGTTCCATGGCGGCTCACGCCGTTGCAATCGAGCCAATTGCCACGCTCCAATTAGTGCCCACACACCGCCCATTTCACGTGTCGAACCACGGTCATGCGTAATAGATTTCTGCTCGGCCCAAACATCAGGCACTTTCAGACTCCACCCTCTGCTCTCTTGTTCCTGACTATTGCTCTCTTCTGCTGCTGCTCTGTGCTTCTGTGACACTGACAGGAGCCCCGGATTTACTCAGGTACCCTGCATCTAGAAGCCCAGCGTTGCCCGCGTAACCTTCAGCCGGGTCGCATAGGGAGGGTGGGAGTCAGTGAGCTGATGCTTCTTGACATTCCTCTACCCAGCCATACAGAGCACATCGTCACGTCCAAGACCCTAGAACTCACAATGGCCGTCACCAGATGTTGGTCGACATGATCCATAGATACTCCGTCAAGTGTGGGTTTCCAGAGGCTAACGCGAGAAAAGGGGGCGCTGCGTCGCCCCATCTCAATGCAATCCGTCGGTATCCAATCACGGCTCCGACACACCTGTTCAAGAAAGTTGCACCACCAATCCTCCCCAAAAAGTTTCAGTCCCACCGCTCTCAATTGGGAGAGTATATCGTAGCATGTGAAAGTCTTTGCAGGTCCATGTCTCGCGAGAATACCTGACCTCATGCCTCGCAATACAGACAGAGCATGGTCTGATGTCACGGCTAGTTCAACATCGGGTGGCTGCATGCACAATGTATAATACCAGATACGTTCCGTCTTACAAACGGAGCCCAGCAAACCTCACAGATGCAGTGTGAGTAAACCATCCGGCTGGTTCATTCTGCGGAGCCGCAATGTTGAGACAACTCAATGGTTAATGCAGAAAGGTAACTCGGGTCCGAACAGAGAACCTCGGCGCGATTTTCCGTGAAAACATAATGGCGAATCAGATTGGTTTTTTAAGGGCATTTCAAGCAGTTCGGGTCCGAGACGATGGACCTGGGTTATCTAGCTTTGCAGTTTTGTAGAAACTACCAGTCGATAAGCATCTTACACGACTCTCTGGCTTTAGACAAGAGTGACGAAATGGAAACTTATTTCAAGCCACATACACCCAGTCTCTCGTATAGCCGCAGGGAACACTTACACAAACGTTGTGGTTGCTGAGAGACAACATACTAGTAAGCTAGATGGTGAGCATCGTCCGGCAGATTCATCTCGAGAATGCATTGCGATGCCAAGACGCAAATCGTGAATAATCATAACTCTCTATTTCTGGTTCTGATGCTTCATGAACTGCTTCGACCACCTCTCGTAGCCGTCCAGCATCTGGTGCGTGATACCCTTGGGAACAGACTTGATGGCGTCCACAATATCCTCCATGCAAACCTTCACCTGCTCCGCCTCCCCATCCAACCTGACACCGCCGCCATTACCTTCTTCTGTGGCCCCAATGTGCGTCCTGCTCAGCGTCTTGCTCAACGCCGGCTCCGTCGCCACGTTGACAATCTGCTTAATCTCTGCACCCGAGAAACCCTCCGCCAGCCTCGACAGCTCCGCCACGTCCACGTCCGCCGCGAGGGGAAGCTTGCGCAGATACAGGTTAAACACGGCCTCTCGCCCCGCGGCGTCCGGCGGACCAACATACACGATTCGGTCGAAGCGGCCGGGGCGCAGGAGAGCCGGGTCCATGGCCTCGGGCCGGTTCGTCGCGGCGAGAATAAGCACGCCCGAGAGCGCCTCGAAGCCGTCCATCTCCGTCAGCAGCGTCGTGAGCATATTCACAGAGCCCTGACTTTTTGCAGCACCACCACCGCCGCCATTGCCGGCGCGCTGGCCGCCGATGGAGTCAATCTCGTCAAAGAAGATGATACTCGGGCTCGCGGCGCGCGCGCGCTCAAAGAGCTGCCGGACGGCGCGCTCCGACTCGCCCACGTACATGTTGAGCAGCTCCGCGCCCTTGACGGCGAAGAAGTTGAAGCCGGACTCGGTGGCCATGGCCTGCGCCGACAGGGTCTTTGAGCATCCGGGCGGGCCGTAGAGGAGGAGGCCCTTTGGCGGGGTGAGGATGAGCTTCTGGACCGTCGGATCATTTGTCGTGGTGAGGGTGATCATGTTGCGCAGCGCGTTCTTGAGGCTCTCTTGCCCGCCGACGTCCTGCCAGTGGATGGTGGGTGGCTTGAGGTTCACGTCGTGCATCGCTGTCGGCCTGGTGGAGCGGAGGGCGTGCTCGAGGTCCTCGCGGGAGAGGTACGGGGTGCCCAGCGCCTCCTCGTCGTAGCCGGCTTCGTCTGGGTCGAGGCGCTCTGCCGAGATGATCATTGCGTTTTCGATGAGTCTGTCGAGGTCGCTTGCGTTGTAAGCATGTGTTTGTTGTGACAGCTTGGCCAGCATCACGTCCTTGACCTCTGGCTGGATGGGTATCTCAAAGGATTTGAGAATCTCGAGTCGGCCCTCTGCGTTGGGTATCGAGAGGGGTATGTTCCGCTCGAATCTCGTTCTCTTTTGTAGCTCGGGAGGCACGTCCGTCATGTAGTCCAGACAGGTAGCGATGACCACGACCTTTGGTAGTGTGCCGTTCTTGAGGGCATCCTCGGCCAGCTGGTCGAGCTGCTGACCTAACCGTTGGGTGATGGCCGTGGAGTTTGCCCGGTCTTTCCCAATCAGGGCCTGGAGGCCATCGATGAGGATGATGCTGGGCTGCATCGTCCGCGCTTGCTTGAAGACCTCCTCAACGGTCGACGACTTGTCGTTTTCTTCAATCCGGAAGACTCGACCCCAGCCCGTACTCGCTATCCGGTTCAGGATGTACGACTTGCCAGTACCTCGTCCGCCGTGGATGACGATTCCGCATGACTTCTGTTGACCCTTGTAGACGAACTTTGCATTGAAGCCACGGAGGAAGCTTCGCAGCTTCTTCTCTTCCGCATGCAAACCGGGGATATTCGGGACGACGAGTCTCGTCACGTCGCGGACTTCCTCGACTGGCTCCTCTTCCTCACCTGAGACGATGGTGGGTACTGTTGAGACCACATAGCGGGCTACATTATGTGTCTGGCCGTCTACGGATGTGATCCTGAATATTTGTTTTGACCCAGGCGCCACACACTCAAATTTCATGCCCGGAAAGACTTGTTCAGCTCTCCCTGAAAATTAGTTAGCCTCGGTCTAACGGCAACTATGAAGTCAAGAGAGGCTATGTCGGTCTCATCACAGGGTGAGAATATATTGTTGCGCATAAAAGCCATGGTAGAATATCACAGAAAATACTGACGCCAGCCAGGTTCGATTGGGACAGGAGGAACTGAGCAACTCACCAAGATAGAATCGAATCACTCCCACCCAAGCCCCCTCCCACGCTTTAATCTCGGCCTTTTCCCTCTCAGACGTCGTCACAGGCAAAATGCTCACCGACTGAGCATCAGGCACCGCAGAAGTCTCCGTCATCGTAATCGTAATCTGATCACCCAGCTCGAACCCGCAGGCCTCGCGGTACGCCTCGCTCATGAGGATGATGTTAGGGCTGATGTTCTTGTCCGCGAGCGTCCAGAGCGCGGCCTCTCGGCGCAACGGCTCCGTTGTCGTCGTCGTCGCCGCAGATTTGGCTGCATCCTGAGCGGCGGTCCTCGTGACGACGCAGCGCCGGCCGTTGTCGACGCTCCCCGTGAGCTGGATCAGGGAATCCCGGTTGACGTAGATTCTCGAGGCACCCTTGAGCGTCGACTTTTCGAGCGTCTTGTCGAAAGGCGCCAGAGGGCGGACCTTTCCATCGATGGTCTTGGCCATAGTTTGTGGTATAGCCGGCGGCAGGGTTGGTATCGTGCCCCTGGTTGCCGTCGTCTTGATCCCGGCGAGTCTCTCACTGAGTGCGCAGCTCAGCCCGCGGGACAATCAAGTCGCGGATTGCCTGAGTGTAGTCCGATGAGAGACTGGGAAAACGTCAGATCTAGAAAAGGAAAAACCGAAAGCCTCCCGTTCCTGAATCTTTCGTCTCTTGTGGCCTGTCGGAAGCGCCTGTGTTGTTCAGACGACGTTTATTCTTCATCCGTCACTGCCCACATGAGTTGACAATGGTGTAGGGCCCAGACCGGGGTATGGCATCGAGAAAACCCTGCGACAAGAAGATCCGGCAACGATGAGTTTTTGAGAAGCAACTGTGACAGGCACAGTACCGACTTCTATTCCAGCAGGTATTCTGAGGGCATCAACGTCTCTACGAAATTCCCTAGGTATTTGTTGGGTTTTCTCTATTTTCTTGAGCTCGTGCCATGTAGATATGTTTCCTCAGTGAATCGCCCAAGATTTCGTGTAAGTGAGCCATGAAAAATTCAAAGACCCCTCCCTCCCCTCCAGGTCCCGACTCCCGACCAATTTTCCTGCAGACATCGGCCCCACACCAGCTCAAGTCGAGGGTACGTACCTACCCTGCCACGCCTGTTCAACGTCGCAGCGCGGAAGAAAGTTAGGTCCAGCATCTCAACTTCTTTCTTTACTTACAACAGCCTCCTCCACCTCCACCACGGAAGCCTCAACGACGCACGCGAACCGAAACACGAGGAGTCTTCCTCTTTCACCCTTTCTCCGCCGATCCGAAGAAGCCCAATCTCCTCCGGGCCCATGCAATGGGCTGACCTCCGAGGGCTGCGCAGCTCGACCCTCAGAGTTGCCCGGATGACCACAATCGCAGCCCGACGACGGCTCCCGCTGTTGCAGCAGCTGTCGTTACCACAGAAGCCAGCACCTATACTCCAACGTTTCTTTCGCGCAGACCACGGCTCTGGTACACGACTCTTCTCGACCCAACCCCAGCGCAGCTCACCCGACGACAAATGGGGCAAGAAGAAACCGTCACGGAGAGAGGAGCCAAAGGCAAAGCCGCCTTCGCTTTTCGAGGAGCTATTCCCGAATGATGACGTTTACTCTCACCCGAGTCGTCGCGCCAACGAACAGGATGATGGAGAAGGCAGAGGCAAGGTCAAGGTCCGGTTCCTGACCTCCACCGACCCGGAAAAATCCGAGGCGACAGAGTACAGATTGAGGCAACTGGAGCGCAAGAACAAACTCAGCAAGACAGGAGGCGAGGCGGCCGGCAAGATCGCAGACTTCTTTGAGTCGAGTGCACGTGAAAAGGAGAAAAGGGACAAGGCCGCCGGCGGAGAGAGCTCCTCCATCTTCAACGAGCTCTTCTCAACCCCGGAATCAGGAGGAGCAGAGTCGGCGGTGGGTGCAGTGCTGGGCAAAGGAGGCGTCGAGGCCTTGTTGAGGAACTCTCAAGCCGGTCAAAACCTATCCGAAGAGAGATCCGTAGATCACAATGACCTCCAGTCCTGGATCGACTCCTTCCCGAAAGACGACGCCGTCAACACCGCCTCCTCGGAAGCAGCATCCCCAGAGGAGGCGGCGGCGGCCAAGGCCGAGCGCTCCGCCATGCTCATTCTCTCCAACGCCAGCCCGAATCTCATGGAGACCGACTTTTACCGTATCGGACCCCAGGGCCAGCACCTCGACGGCTGGAGCGCCTCCATCACCAAGGTAATGCAAGCCTACGACTACAGCACCCTAGCACCCATGGACCGCTACTTCATCCTCTTTGACTCCCACGCCGCGGCAGCAGCATACCAGCGCGAAGCACAACGCCTCCACGCCCTCGCCGGCCGCGCCCTCACGTCCCCCGCCGCCGGCCTGACGTCCGCAGAAACCTCCTCCACATCCTCCCAAACATCAGTCTTTAGCCTCGCGCCCCCCTCCAAGACGCCCCTCAACCTCCACCTCTACAAACTCAACCGCGCCACCGAGGCCCGCCTCGAGACTTTCAGCATCCAAGGGCTCCTCAGCATGACCCCCGAACCGCCCCCGCGTGCAAACGCACACGTCGTCCTCTCCCTCGAGGGCGGCACCCTCGACCAGCGCGGCCTCTCCCATTGGATCCGCCGCGACGCCCGCGACCGCAACCTGGGCTGGCCGGTGCAGCACCTGCGTCCGTACTTTGCGCCCAAGGTGCACCAAAGAACGGCGACGAAGGCGGGAAAGCCTACGGAGACAGAGGAGGGCCTCGTCTACGACGAAGATGATGCGGCTCCGGCGGTGACGGAGGCCGACTCCGGACGCAGAAGCACCCCCGACGCGCTGGACGAGACGGCCCCGTCCGGTCGGTTTGTGGTGTCGTTCCCGGACGTACACGAAGCGAGGCGTTTTGTTCGCGCGTGGCACAAAAAGGAGCTTATCCTGACAAATGATCAGAGCGTTATTGTAAACACGCATGTAGTGTGGTAATGTCACAGGTAGCAGCGACCGTCGATAAAAAGTGTATAGTAACTCGTTGTAGGATATACCGGGAGCATGTGTAGGGAGCATATGTATATCAAAAGGCCAAAAACCTCGAATATAAAGCTTCATCACGCATATCGGGAGCACCCAAGGGAGGAAAAAAGGATGTATTATAAAAACCCAGAAATAAAAACCCGAAACTCCAGACCAGATATTTGCTCTCTAGGGGTTTTGATGAAAAGGCGCTATCGGCAAGAAACCACATGACAAATAACCACACAGTACTTTCTCCCCATAGGGAGGGGAGCCTGAGGACAGGTTGGTGAGCGAGCGCCCGCCGTGTTTCTCATCATCGAGCACACACAACGCACGCCCAGCCGGTCGGGCCCATCACCAAGTTTTTCTCTTTTCTCAGCCAATTGCCTCGCCGGCAGCCCCGGCTCTGCCTCTCGCTTGGCCCCTGTCATGTCTTCCTCTCTCTCACCGAGTTTCTCTGCGTGTCCTTTCCGGCGGGCAGACCCGCTGTGAAGCCCCATATGCTCATGTCTTTCTCCCCTTCTCTCTCCTTTCATGCGCGTCTTCATTTGCCTCTGTAGGACGTCGCGGTCCCCGGCGGCAGCGCGGAATCGACACAAAGTAATCAAATCTTGCTTTCGGAAATACACACAGCATCAAAAATCGAGCGTCCCGTGGCCAGCCCCGTTCCGTTACTTTAGCAGCACTTTCCGCCGGCTCCACTTGACTCGCCGACGTTGACGCCCGAGGCGGCGGGTTGCTCGTTCTTCTGGTTGTCGATTAGACGCTTCTTGATATCGGCGGCGAGGGAGTAAAAGGCCTTGTCAATGTTGATGTTGCTCTTGGCCGAGACCTCAAGGAAGGGGATGCCGAGCTCGTCGGCGAGCTGCTGACCGCGCTCGGTCGAGACGACACGCTTCTCTTCCCAATCGCACTTGTTGCCGATGAGAATCTTGTTGACGCCCTCGGTGGCATGCTGCTCGACGTTGGCGAACCAGGTGCGGATATCTGCGTGGGAAAAGTATGCATTAGTCTTCTGTTCTCATATATCCATCCTATCATGTAGGGTTTCTTTTGCAATGGCAACAGCAGTGCAGAGTTCGAAATGGAACCAACAGCAGCTGTGCAAGTGAGTCGCAACGTAAGGAAGGGGAGCGGCATACTGTTGAAGGAGCGCTCGTCGGTGACATCGTAGACAAGCAGAATGCCCATGGCGCCACGGTAGTAGGCGGTGGTGATTGTGCGGAAGCGCTCTTGGCCGGCGGTATCCCAAATCTGGAGCTTGACACGCTTGCCGTCCAACTCGATGGTGCGGATCTTGAAATCAATACCAATGGTCGTGATAAAGGACGGCGTGAACGAGTCTTCGCTGAAGCGCAACAGGCAGCAGGACTTGCCTACGCCCGAGTCGCCGATCAGCAGAAGCTTGATCTGGGGTGCTGGTCAGCCACATGTGAACACGATGTCATGTTTGCCATCTGTAATGATTCGCACGGCGGAAGGGGAAAGGAAGGTGTTCGAAAGGACGGGGTTCGAGGGGCGCGAGGGTATCTTGATCGAAAAGGGCGGGACGATGTTAAGGAGGGGCAACGACATTCGACACGTACAAGGAAGTCGTAGTTGCGGTTGCTCGACATTTTGGCGGCGGATATTGATGGGGGACTAAACCGAGGGGGCCGATCTGAAGGGGGCGGTATTGCTGCTCCGGGCGACGTACGTGCCAGGCAAGTTGAGACCGGGAGGATGCGAATGAGACGGCGATTGTCGTGAGCTTGTCGTCGGATTCAGACAACGGTTGGGGGAGAGGTGATTGAGAAGTTGGTAGGAGACGGGCCTAGGTAGTTTGTCGTAGATAGGTAGGTGGTAATAGTAGTAGTATGTACGAATAGTAAAGGTAGGCACGTAAAGCGCTGGGCTGCGGACGAGGCGAGGCGCTGCAACGTACAGTCCACCACACTGTGAAGAGGTACGTATCCCCGTACGTAGGTAGCGTCGAATCGCTTGGTCTTTTTGGGGGGTCAAGTGTGGCGCCTGCCGTCTGGGGTAAGATACTGGACCCGGCCTCTTGCTTGACCGATCCGACTTGACCTGTGCTTGTGCTGGGACAGGGCCTGAGGGATTTGGTGACTTGGCGGTGGGTTTTGCAGGCTAAGGTACCTAAGGTATTGAAATTTAAGAGCAGTCTTGGGGTGGGAAGTCGGTACCTGCTGCAATGCGAATCCCGCCGCGAAAAAAGTGTGCTAATCAAGTCCGCTGTTGATATCCGTAGTGGCACAAATCAACTGCTTCCGGCACTAGAGAAGGTAGGCCTCGGTGAAATCAGATAGCTAGCCACGACTCACGGTGGTGAGTTGCCTAAGGCACAGTGCCCGCCAAGGAGAGAAGACGCGACGATGTCGGATCTGCGTCGGAGGGGAGCGAAAGGTTAAAAGAAGCAAAACTTCCCTGGTCGATCCAAGCACCCTGTTGCAGAACACCAAGAGAAAATTTGGGGGAATAATACACAGACAGCACTTCAGCGTACTTCCATGATGGCAGCCATCAAAGGACGGGGTATCGCCAGGCTCGCTCACCATAGAAGCGATATGCCAGCAACACCTCAGCCACCAGGTATTAAATTGTCTACCAACCTAGTCGTTATCTCAAAACTTGATGCGTTGTCTCTGCCGTGGCACTACACCCCCTTTGCTGCCAAATGTGCTCGGTCTCCCTCCCGCCTTTGCCAGACTTGTCGGGACTCAGGTGGCTACCAACGAAGCCACACCAAACGTCATCGCACTGTCTCGCCTCAGGGTCCAGGTCCAGATCCAGCCAGAACTGGGTCACGCGTCCGCCGCCCGAGCATCCTGGCTGGCGGTCGTTCCATGGTCACAAGAGACATTGTTGAGCCTCCCTCACGTTCACTCGTTGGCCAATACGTCACCCGTTTAATTGCACTTCAATTCAACTTTTGGTCTAAACACCTTTCCTAGTGACAAATGCCGCCTGCTAAGCTCCGGTACCAATGTGCGATGCTCCGTTGACAATTCATGAAGGCCTCCAGTGGTGTACAGATGTGGTACAGGTCCCACCGAAAAAGGCCGTTCCCGCTGTGCGTAGTAAAGTAACCTGAATGCTGAAGCTCAAATCCGTAAGACCGTGTATCCATGCGAATCATTATTGCGCCCGAGGTTCTCCGTCCTTCGTTGTTTTACTGTAGCCACTTGGCGTACGCCCAGCGAATGCGATCCAAAGCTCTAACTTGCACCTGAATCCCCTTCAGGTTGGCAAGATCATCCAAATCCTCGAGGAACTCTCGCTGCCTGTCGCGTGGCAGCACTCTCTGCATCAAGTTGCGCAGCACGTGGACTTCGCACAACAGGAGGCCGTGGTCCTTGTAGGAGAGGAGGTTGTTCTGAGAAGGCGTCGCCTCTGAAAAGATCCGGTCAATGTTGCGCAGCACTCTGATGCTCTGTCCAGTCTTGCGGCTTTGCCGGGCTCCCTTGCGAGCACCAAAGATGCCGCGAAGATACTGAATAATGCCAATAGAGACAAGCACACCAGGCGTCAGACCCACAAACCCAAACACCAGTTCCTGGCTCTTGAGGAGAGAGTCGATGCCGCTGATGGCGACCTCCAGGTCGACCTTGGTCTTCTGCACCTGGATGAGCAGTGATCGGACGAGGTCGCCCTTCACCGCACCGACAAAGGGAGTCCGCAAATCCTTTTCGTACGCACGCAGAACCGGCGTGACGTCTCCCTCGCTGACCTTGGTGCGGATAATCTCGATCTGGGCGTCGGTGAGAGAGGACCCGTCACCTGCAAAGTGAGGCTTGTCCAAAGCAAAGTCCACAACCATGCGCTCCAAGCTTTCCCGATCGGCCTTCAAGCTGTCTCGGCTCATGATGGCGATCTCGCTGCTCGAATCGTGTCGAATAGTTCCAACAATCTTACGTGTCGGTTCGATAACCCAGTTGAACCAGAAGTCTCGCACCGTAGATCCAATATCCCGAATCCAGCTGATTATTTCTGCGCGTCTGTTGGCAAGAAGCCGAAGGACAGTCGTGGAGGAAAGCAGTGCTGCTGTTGCAGGCAACCAGTATCGGATGAATCTCGACGGGCGGCCGTTCTCTCGAACAAGCAGCTGCGCAGACATGACGTGGTTGGGAAGGCCGTTATCCAGGAGGTTAAGGAGACGTCTAGCGAGCACGGAGGGCTTCTCCAGAGCGTTGGCGTCCTCGATGTGAATGCTAAGCTCGGGGTCTTCCTCGACTCCAGCGAACACTTTGTCCTCGAAATCGTTGACGCCAGACTCGAGAGTCAAGGCCTCCTTAAGAACCATGTCCATAAGAGCCACGCTTCGCTCAACCACGCCTTTCCAGTCATGGCTGTTAACGCCAGCTTCGCTCTTATCATCGTCTTCGTCTCCTCCAAAGGTCAAACCTTCGTCAACGAGCACACCAAGACCGCTTGCGATCATATCCCGCAAGCGCCTGAGATGTGCCAGTTTCCTCCGAGCTTCGCCGCGGCTAAGGGCCACAGGCGATAGGACCTTGCGCTGAAGGGTCGTGATCGATGAGTCCCGAATGCTGTCCCGTACGATGCCGTAAAATTGTTTCCATTGCTGCGATAATCCTGTCCGGGTGGATGCGACAATATCGCCCGGCGTTTGGCTAAGATTCCGAATTCTGTGCTTGCTTTCGTGGTAGACGTCCTTGGTCAAGGCCCACAAACGCAACGGTGACGTCTGGACAGTGTAGAGACTGCTGTAAGTATACGAGCTCAACACTTCGTCCCAGTACCACATCTCATCACTGAGAGGGATAATCTGATCCAGGAGCGTGTTCAAAATGATACCGTAAGTCTGAACGGTAGCCTTGCTAACGAGTAGCCACTCGATCTCTGACTGGTATGGGCCTCGTCTAGCCTCGTCATCCTGCTCCGCTTGGAAGTCCCACTCGGCAAGTTTGGATTCTTGCAGTAGAGAACGAATCCTCTGAGCGGGGAGTAGAGATGAGGAAGTTGAAGTGGTGGACAGAGCCCTAACGATGTGTAGGAGCTCCTCAATCCTTGGCGACGACAGGGCGTCTACGGTGGCCGAGTGAAAAATGCCATGCTCTTCGGCAGACAGCTCGCCATCTTCTTGAGATAGACTCAGACCTAGTGGAATCCGATCCAGCTGCGCATCTAAGCGGCGGACTTGGCTAGGTGCAGGGAAGGGTTGATGTCAACATTCAAATGTTTTGTTTGGGATGACGGGAAGTCAAGGAGAGATGGGACGGAATACTGACTCGGCAACAACAGACATTATAGCTTCTCACTCAGAGAGCACTCCTCCTCCACTTTCATGGATCGGTTTTGGGTCGAACTCTCGAGACTGTGAGGATTGTAGTCGTGTGAGGTTGAATTTGATGGAAGAATGCAGTAGTAGAAGTTTGGGTTAGACGTCATCAGGTAAGCGAATGCCCCGGGCAACTTGGGCGAGCCTGCAGCCGACAACGCGGTGAGCGGCGACTGGAGAGGACGTGGGATGACAGGTGGGGTCTCTTGGGTGCCTTAGTCAGCCAGCGCCGCTGACGGAGCTGGACTGTAGGAATGGTGCCATTCGTTGGGGATGAGCTACTCATCCTGCGTCTGCTTTTACCTATGAACAAGCCCAGTTTGGATTTATGGCGAAGGAGGTTCGTTTACTTCGAATATTCGAGCTCCTCAAAGGCATCTCCATTCTTTGAGGCCCTTTCATTATGTTCAGACAGTTTGGGCCCGACTATAGGCCTGCCAAGCCAAGCATATCAGATAGATCGTTTATCAACCAAAGAGGCGTTACCAGTGGCCGTGCTGGAGTATATGAGTTCCAGATCTGAGTGTATCTTTACTGACATACTTGACGAACCCCATTCAACGATGGCGATCTGCGACTGCGCCGCCTGAGGTCACCAGCTATGTTGCGCTTTGGTTGCTCGTATGGTATGTGGCCGCAAAGGACTTTCCGGCATCAGATACTGCAGATCTAGTAGCGTTTAAATGTTCAAAATAGGAGCAAGTTGGACTAATCCTATCATTATTAAGGATGACAGGTCAGTGGCAACCACAGGCTTGTTTGGTACAATAGCTCGGGCTTGTCAGTCTGGCTTCATCGTTCATGTATCTAAGGACGCGGAGACATCATGAGCTCCAAGCCTCAACTTGTGCTTGACACACAAGGATGACGAGGACTTTCGAAGTGTTGTCGACTGGAAATATACAAAAGTAAGTAGTGCTAGCCATTACCAAGCTGGGCCTTTCAAGGTAGACATGTATCGGATCAAGCTTGACCGGAACACGCCATTTTGACATGAGCATCCACGACACCCCATGCTTCGCGCTGCTGGAGCGTCCCAGCGGTGGGTACGGCCGGGTTATTTGGCAGCTGGGCCAGGGCTACGCCGCGGAGGAGGTCAGATGGATCTCATCGGCAATCGGATGTGGTAGATTCGGAGGCGTGGAGCATGTCACTGTCATTGAAGATTATTCTGGCTTGTGTTTTTGAGCACCTGTGTTGGAGCTAACGGGGGCAAAACGGGTAGCGTTAGGCCAAAGCGAATTCCTTTGGCAAAGACGTGCGACGCGCAACCTGGAAACGTGCCCCTCCTTCATCGTATTCGGGTTGAGGCAGGGTACGTACCGGTGCAAAAGGTGAGCGTAGCAAGCCAAAAAGTCGAGGTGCGAGGTGCCAGGCGTTCCATGCACGGCGATAAGACAGCCCTGCCCACCTAGGTAGAAGGGTGACTGATATCGGCCTCCTTTGATTACCCGCGACGGGTCGCAATGCTCTTGCATAAGTGCTTCTTGAGAAGATGATGCCGACATTGGATCAAAGCTCAGAACTCCAATTGAGGTCTGAGTAAGCTGGAGAGGTTGACATTGAATTAGACTGCCGCTACCTTATCTCAAGTGCTTGGCTTCGTCAGGAGCTTTACCTCTACGAACCTTACTTCAGGTGTCTGGCTTTGATGAAGGCTCAGAAACAGCACAAGAAAGAAAGGAGCTTTGTCCCATCCATGAATGTTTCCCTGCCCCGTGCCTCCCGCCTGTTCGGCTTTTTCCCCCTCGGCCCCCCTACGATTGGTAGAGGGCCAGAGCCAACAACGCCTGGCGCAGCTGTCACACACCCTTTTGCCTCCCGAAATCTCGCACACCGCCCGACCCAGTCGCCAGGGCACGCCTGCTTCCCACTGGCCAAAGCCCACCACGGAAGACGGAAGGACCCACGAGCTGCATGGTTCGATGTTCAAGTGCAGCTTCTCATTGGCTCATGGCACAAGAATGGGCAAATCGCAACTAACGTCCCCACGCTGTCGCCCAGAAAGGGCGAGAGATGCACAGGGGCGTTTTCATAAGGTACCTAGCACAATTCCAGAACTAACCTAATGTTAAGTCATCTTGAGTGAGTAAGGTAAGTATTTTTTTTTTTCACTCTCTCTCTGTGGTGACAAGCACCAGAGACGCAGGTGCCATTTCCTTTCCCCGTCAACCGAAATGATCCATGGATAAAACCTCAACAAGACCCGGCCCTGGACCCTTGACCTTGCCGCCCGCCGTCCTTTTTTCCCTTAAACCTCCCATCGCCACCTAAACATCACCCTGGGCGCATTGTTGAAGGAGTTGCGACTGTCTTTTCTTTCCCTCCCCAGCTTCCTCTTCGCCAACTTTGGCTTTTCTCATACACATCTGTAATTCCACACTTGTTGAAGCACACAAAGTCGCAAACTTGCGCTCCCCGCCATCATGGCCGCTTTCATGTGAGTTTGGCCCCGTATCTTCCTCCGATCCATGGCGCGCCCCCTTTAGTCCTCGAACACGATCTTGAAGCAAACAATCACTGACCTGTTTCTATGCGAAACAGCAACTCGACCGTCATCAACACCGCCTTCAACCACACACAGCCGTACTTCAGTGTCCTCGAGGAGGTTTCCAAGTACAATGTCCAGCTCAACTACTTTGAGCGCCTCTGGGCCGTACGTTCACACCTCATCGCGTGCCTGTGCCAACAAATGTCACTACAATGCGACTGACACCTTCCTTCTAGGCTTGGTATCTCTGGATGCAGAATGACACCCTCGCCACTGGCATAATGAGCTTCGTCATGCACGAGACCGTCTACTTTGGCCGCAGTTTGCCCTTCATCATCTTCGACCTCATCCCCTGGTTCCACAAGTACAAGATTCAACCTGTAAGCAAACCCTCCGCATCCTGTCATCTGAATACTCTGGATGTATGCGCTGACGCTCAAGTAGCAAAAAATGCCGACACTCAAGGAGCAATGGGACTGCGCCATGGTCGTCCTCATCAGCCATTTCACCGTCGAACTCCCCCAGATCTGGCTCTTCCACCCCCTCGCCACGTGGTGCGGCATGGAGTACAACGTCCCCTTCCCGCCTCTCTGGAAGATGGCCATGCAAATCTCCATCTTCTTCGTCATGGAGGATACCTGGCACTACTGGTTCCACCGTGCCCTGCACTACGGCCCTCTCTACAAGGCCATCCACAAGCTTCACCACTACTACTCTGCGCCTTTCGGTCTCGCTGCCGAGTACGCCTCGCCCATCGAAGTCATGCTCCTCGGCATCGGAATCGTCGGCTCGCCCATCTTCTGGGTCACCCTCACCGGCGACCTCCACCTCCTGACCATGTACGCCTGGATCGTCCTCCGTCTCTTCCAGGCTATCGATGCCCACAGCGGCTACGACTTCCCCTGGAGCTTGCGCCACTTCTTGCCCTTCTGGGCCGGTGCCGACCACCACGATCTCCACCACGAGAAGTTCATCGGTAACTACGCCTCCAGCTTCCGCTGGTGGGACTACTGCCTCGACACCGAGGCCGGTCTCGAGGCTCACAAGAAGCGCCGCGAGAAGAAGATCCAGGCCATCAAGGCGCAAAAGTCTCAGTAAATCCACTTCCCGCTATGGCTGTGAAGCCGTTTTTGCGACATAAAGTACGCACATCACCAAGCACTGGGGCCATGCTCAGTGCCCTGGGAGAACGACGGATGCGCTCACAAATGGCGGTTGGAGCGCGTTGCTGGACACACCGGCCGCGGGGTGGTGTCTCATGATACGATGTATAGAACGCGGCAGGAACGGAATACCGCAAGGGAAAGCGACACGACACGGGCCCGGATAACCGAGGCCATATCATCAAAGTCACGTAATTATCATTGGAGCGGCGTTTGAAAGAGGTATTGACGGTTGTGCGAAAAAAAGACGAAACCACTTATGCGAATTCTGTCGTATATATTGGGAAGGCCGCCCATATAACTGGCATTGTAGTAGATTACTTAATCATAGCACAACATTCGTTCTTCTAATGCTCCGTTTTACGTGTCTGTATGTTTTAGGTGTATCAACAACGTTGTATATAACTGTCGTACAGGGGGCCCGGTGATGAGGAGAATAGCTGAACCCCCGGGGACCTCGGATCCGAAGTTGAGTTGAGGCTGGCTTAACGGGACCGTGGCTAAGGGCGACAACCACGCATCACTTCTTCGGCGTGCAGCAGTCTCCAGCCGTACCCGCCGCTTTGTCAGCCAGGCCTCGGATACCGCAGCTGACAGTCTCTCCCTCGCCGGTGGAGGCTTCGGAAGCCGGCACCTCAACCTCACCAAAGTCCTTTGCCAGCGCGTCGCAGATGAGAGCGAGCTTGAGGTCCTTGTCTGACAGGCCCTTTGGAACGTGTGTCGTCCATCGGATAAAGGTTGTGTTGTAGACCTGCCCTCTTGCTTTTAGCCCGTGGAGAGAAGACAGGCGTGCTTTGGACTTACGTTTGACCACTCTGGATGATGATTGTGGATTTTACATTGTAGGCTCACGGCTGTCATGAAGTCCTTTTTGTTACACTCGTCAGCAGTCGATTCCATTCATCGATGATTCTTTGTAAACATTTCATTAAACATTTCATTAAACATTGGCCCGACGGAGACATATAAAAGAAGAAGAAAAATAAAGAGACGGGAGAAGGATCCGCACCCATGTCTTTGCAAAGTTCTTGAACTTGAAGCTCCGCTCAACGGCCTCGCCGTCATTGACCAACGTCCAGCCCCGTCCCTGTCCCAGCAGCGTCTGGAGCGTCGAGGAGAGGGAAGACTCGTCGGAGCCCTTGGAGAAGCGCGGCGTGGACGCCGCGGCGGCGGGTGTGGTTGACATTGTTCTCTGGTATCGCGGTGCGGACTGGTGCTGTGTGAAGTTTTGTAAGGGCGATGGGGATGTTGCTGCGTTTGAGAGCCGGGATGGTGTCAAGGTGAGAGGTCGCGGAGTACAGTGTGCGATGCGGCGGAGGAGGGTACGGGCTGGAGTGTTCATCTCTGAGGGGTGTTTGTTGCGATTGGACTTAGGTGACGTTGTTCTTGTAGTTGAGTTGCAGATGTAGGGTTCTGGTGTGGTGGTTGAAGCCTAAGATGCTGTTAGAGGTGTACCCCTGTTGCAGGTACTTGCGGTTGAGCTTATGTGGAGACATATGAGATGGATAAGGTTGCCTGATAACACTTGATTTTGCTCTATGTTTGCAATAATGTCTAGACTCTGTCTCTAATACCCTTCGAGATGCTTACACCAAGACTTGACTTAATTCTTTCGCAAGAAGTCTTGAAACACAGGATCCATGGGTTATTTCACAAGCTAGTTGTACTTTCCAGAACTAGGATCAAATCTGCAAGTAGAACGTCAAGACGAGGTAGCTCAAAAGTCTAAGTTTTATATCCTTGTAAAATCATTATATCAATCTACTGCTCAAGGACCCCAAATTTTACACTCGAGATGGGTCGATAACTGACATTTAATATTTGGATTATAGAGGTATTGACCCGAGACATTCGTCTTCTATCACTGTCTTACATCCTTCCTGCCCCCGGGTGCCTACTCCGTATCTATCAAGGCTATGTTAATATGACAAGGATAATGAGGATGATGAAAACAATATAAGTCAACGATAACGATAATTAAGGAGGTAATGTCGGCCATGAAGATCACGAGGCCGAAGTTGGCGATAATCAGAATAGAGGTGGAGGGAATAGCTTTATAGTATCCAAAGCTCGCGCAACGGGGAATACATCGGTCTCGAACTGAGCTTACCTCTGCGTTCCCACATTCTGAAGGTCGATTATCAGACCGCGCCGTTATATCGCATCCCCCTGCATGTATCTGCAGCAACAATCCATTGATCAGCTCAAGCGCCAATATCAGGAAAACGTTGCCTGTTTCCCGGATACCGGGGTGGAGGAGGTTGGTAGCATGGTGGATTGCAGAATGGTCGGGATTCGCTACCCCGCGCTCACCTAAACCACACACGTTCAGACTTGACTAAATGATGACGCCCCGAACATAGACTTTCATGATGTAAGATACACAACTCTCAAAGTTCATCTCAAGTAGCTCTTACTTGGCTAATTGTTTGTAGCTCCAGCTTAATTGCGTGCGCCTGCTAGTACCTTTTCATTGGGCAGAAATCTAACTCGCGGACTACACAACTAAAGTCCTCTGCAAGTCGTTCAAGATGCGTGTACCACATCGACCTCACGAGATGCAAGAGTCCGTATCAAACACTCAGCCAACGGACACTACACTGCCAAACACCCACCAAACCCAGACAATGGCCTCACAACGAGTACAGGAGCCAGAAGCAGATCCGGCCATCACCCTCATCACCGCCGACCTCCTCATTCCAGGCCGCGGCACCCCGGTAGAGAACGCTGCCGTCGCCATCTCAGACGACAAGATCATCCACGTCGGCCCGCGGGACACCCTCCCCTCAAAATATCGCTCCCTCACCCCCCTCCACGTCCCCGTCCTCATGCCGGGCCTCTGGGACGTCCACGTCCACTTCCTCGGCATCGACGTCGTCACCGGCTTCAGCGACGGCATCTTCAACGTCCTCCCGGGCTCCAACGCCCTCATCGGCGCCGTCATCGTCCAGGACCTAGAGGCCACCCTCATGGCGGGCTACACCTCTGTCCGCGAACTGGGTGGCTACGCCGGTGACCTCCGCCCGGGGATCGACTCGGGCCGCCTCGTGGGACCAAACGTCTACTCCTCCATCGCCGCCATGTCCATCAGCGGCGGGCACGGCGACCAGCACACTCTCCCTATGCAGACGGTCCTCGACTTTGCCAAGTGCGGCGGCGGCGCCTGCTCCATCGCTGACGGGCCCGAGGACTGCACGAAGCAGGTGCGCCTCCTCGTCCGCCGCGGCGCGCGCTGCATCAAGATCTGCTCCAGCGGCGGCGTGCTCAGCCTGTTGGACGACCCGGAGGACAGGCAATTCTCCGACGAGGAGCTAAAGGCCATTGTCGAGGAAGCGGGCCGCAGCCGGCGCGCCGTGGGCGCCCACGCCATAGGTAAGGCGGGTATCATGGCCGCGCTACGCGCGGGCGTCAAGAGCATCGAGCACGGGTGCTACCTCGACGACGAGGCCGTCGACCTCATGCTGGAGCGGGATGCCGTCTTCGTGCCGACGCAGCACGCCATCATGACGCTGGCCGCGGACCCGTCGCAGCTGCCGCCGCCGCTGGCGCGGAAGCTGGTGAAGCTCGTGCAGAGGGCGGCGGACTCGTATCAGCTTGCCATCGGGAGAGGCGTAAAAGTCGCGCTCGGGACGGACACGTGGAGCAGTGACCGGACGAAGCCGCTGGCGCACGGGAAGAATGCGCGGGAGCTGTATTGGGCAGTCAAGAACGGCATGACGCCGCTGGAGGCTATCGAGGCTGGCACGGCGAACGCGCCTGAGGTCTTGGGCGGGATGGCGCCGCTGAGCGGTCAGGTTAGGGAGGGGTATGATGCGGATCTGATTGCTGTTGCGAAGAATCCGTTGAAGGATATTGAGATTTTGACGGACAAGGAGAACATTACCCATGTCTGGAAAGGGGGCAAGTTGTTCAAGTCTTCATGATAATCGGGAGGATGCTTGCAGCATATCTCAGACTGCAAGGGTTGGTCACTGATCAGTGATGAGTATATAAGTCGATCGTCAGCTCAACTGATAGCTCCTTGAACGACACCATACATGTATAAACCTTGTCTTTTCATTGACGGTATCGATATGCTGGCTTTACTTCAGTAAACGAGCTGCTCGCCCAGATACAACCGGATCAAGTGCATTATCACAGCCACACACCGCCCATTCTCCGTTTCCGAATATACTCTATAGAATACGGATATGATGGATGGTCTGTAGGAACCGCCCAAGCGCAAATTGGGGCATGCTCTCGCCCCGACACCTCGAATAGATTAAGATCGCCAGGAGACTTCTTGTTCCGTTACACCTAGGTCTTGAGCGTTGAGCAGGTCGAGATCTTGGATTCGCTACCGTCAGATGCCGGCATTCACTGCGGTGTGATGGTCCTGGTCCACGTATTATACTTCCCAACCCGTACTTACTTGCCTCATTCCATCAACAGGCCTGTGGAGGGATGTGAGGTAGGTTGATCGTAGCATGTCGATAGCTTCGGAATTTTCACTAGATGCTTTCTGAAGGGTCGAGCTGCATGAAGCCGCACTGAGCACCTGCAAATGCAAGCTCGATGTCGAAGAAGAGAGACTGGGCAACGTTACAGTCAACTCAGTGGTGCTGACTGAAGGGCGCGCGGACTACCGCTGCATCATGCGATCTTGACAGCCGCCTAGGTACACTAGATCTACCTTACGTTAGTAAAATAAGAACAGACTTGCAACATTGAAAGCGTCTCTTCTGAATTCCAACTTTCAAGTCGCCGGTGACAAGCCAGCAGCACATCCAACCGGGACAGCAGCAGATGGAACGCATCACCGTACGTGTAATATGTCATTGGTTGACTAAAAAAGGCCGTGTGAGTGAACCTCGGAGTGTGTGTGTTGTCACGGTTGTTTTCCAGAACCGCGCACAGACTCCGCCAAAGCTGCAGCACAGGGCATCTGGCGCCGCATGCCAGACGCGCCAAGCCATCGGGCTTATGTAAGTCAAACACCGGGAGTCGCGGTACGTGTTGACCGAGGAAAGCCCGTATAGGTACCCCATCCCTTCCCGCCGCTTTCCACCTCAGCATGGTACGCATGGGAAGGAAAAGAGGGATTTCCTGGCAGTAATACTCCGTACGTACGGATACGACTGTACGAGTTGCCTTCCGTGCCTTGGTTAAACATCCGTACCCTCCAGGTAGGTTTTGATGCCCGGCGCAAGCCATGCGTGCCTCGGCGGGATATTTCCTACTCAAGCTGGGTACTTCCATTGAGAGGTCGGTTAATTCTTTGACTATCAACCCTCCCTCAGTCTACTTCTGCACTCACTCACCTCGCATAGGAATCGGACTTGCGGGAATAAGGTACTCGGCAAGGGTAAAGTTCTTCCACGATCGTTCTGGTCTGCTGTCTGCGGCCTGCTAGGGTGCCGAGTGGCTCCGGCGACTTTTCCAGTCGTCTCGCCCTACCTGTCATCGGCCATTCGTAAAGTCCGTCGCGTCGCCCTTCCAATCACAAGCAGCCTCTGCTGTCGGGTTAGTCCCTGTGGAGAAACCTGTTGGATGATGTAAGTTGCGGTAGGCCAATTTGGCCCGCAAATAGTCTTCCTCCCTGTGGTCTGTAGATGAATTGTCGCAACTCGGAACGTGCCATTTCTTGATTGCTGACAAACCAGGCTTGCTGACTGTTCGGATTCACGAACGACATTGACTTGAGCATGCAATGAATTATCTGGGGAATGAGTTGTCGTTGGTCCGCGGCCGACAACAAAGTCCGGACAGCTGATTTCAACGTGCTTCCACAATCTTATTCCTGCCGCCCCTGTTTGTCCTATCTCCGTATCCTGTGCTGTTTACCCACTGGTAGGTAGCTAGGGGGGGAGGACTGCCTTGCTCTTATAAGATGGAAGTCCGAAGAGAGATAGTGATAGGGATGGTGAGTATAGCAACAGAAGATAATGCCTAGCGTGGCACACCGGTGGGAATCACGTGGCAGAGTCGTGCTGCCAGACATAGCATCTTCGCCAGCGCCGCCCGAAGGAGAAAGTAAGGCTACACCGCAGATGTAAGTTGAGCTGTCGCGGTGGGAGCACACATGCTTTCAGCTCAAGGTTTGGGCTCTCAGCTCCAAGCCCGATGCATAAGCACATAGGTAAGGTAAGGTAGATTCAGTGTCAATATGCGCAGATTGGCAGGCTCACAAGCAGCTCTAGCCTGCCTGCTTACCTATGGCTCGAAGTGAAGATCTTTCGTCTCCTCGTCGGGCGAGAGCTTGACTTGCAACCTAACATGTCTGTCTTCTTACCTCATCTTCAAGGTAAAGCCACCTGCTCACATGGGACCTTCCTGTGTTGACTAAGGTGGTTGGGTGTTTCCTGACCTGACCCCGTCGGCTCTGGGGAGCGCTTTCAGTCACCTTCCTCATCCCGCTTGACGGCACGCTGGAAGGTACCACACATCGGGTTGGGGCAGGACTTGAAGGAGTGAAGCCAGGTACGTACCGAGGAAAGGTACATGGCAAGCTCAAGGCAGGTACACACGCCAAAGCACCTTGCCTTCCCCCGACAACCTGGAAGCAACGAGCTGCCTGCACCTGCCTGCCTCCGCCCTACCGAGATTCCTCCTCGTCGCGTCCCTCTTCTTTCTCTCCCAATCAATCAATCAAACAGCCAACAGATCCTTCATTCCCAGCCACGCGGTTTTTTTCGTCTCTGCTCTCTTTCCACTCGGCGAAAAGCTTGGAGACTTTTTTCCCATTGCAATTCCTTGAACAGAAAGACTGGCAGACAAGAACAAAAACAGGACAACTCGATACACTCAACGCGTCGAACGTGCTTCTCCAACCACCTCTTCTCGGAAAGCTTCTCCCACACGGTACACCTGGCTGCACCTGGAGAAAGCGGACCAGTCACCAACCCAAGCAGCAGATCAGACCCGACGCAGATTGCATGCTTCTGCCGCGGATTACACACGAAAAAAAAGAGGTCCAAGCTGAGCGACCCGACCTTTCTCTTACCTCCCATTACCTCCGCCTCACCTCATACTTTGGGTCCTTACCTCACCGGAACAGGTACGGTACCTACGGAATACCTTACGTTACCACGTACAAATTACCCACACCCTCGTCAGGTTTCCCCTCCTCTACGACGCGCTAAGGTCGCAGACGATTACCTAAACATTCGTTGAACTGCCGCATCGGTACTCCGTCTCATCCAGTCTCATCATCCGGGCCCTCTTTATAAGTCCTGGTCGGGTGCCTGTAGTAATCAATCCTCCGTTCCCTTCATGCTGAGTCAGAACCGGAGCTTGAAGATGCAGAGCGCTTCACCCTCGTCCTCTGCGAATACCACCACTAACACAGGTAAGCTACTACTCACCTCTCTCGTTTCTCATTTCTCTGTTTCCCGATTCCTATCCTCATGTCCTGTTCTATTCATCCCACCAACTCGCCGTTTCGCCCGACCACCGAGCGCTCTGCCAAACCCCGTCGATCCCGTACCGTTCCTCTCTGACCATTGCCCTCTATCCCTCTTCCACCTCTTTCGCAAATCCGCCCTCCGGCAACTGCCCTAGCCTTTTGCCTTACCTCATCTTTCATTCACTACTCAGTACATTGTACTTGGCTCGGATCTCATGTACTTTGAGTGAGACGAATCCTCTTTCTCACTTTAAACTACGTTACAATCATCAATACCTGCTATATCCCAGGAGAGGCCTGGCTACCTCTCGCCAGCGTTGATATGTAATCACTCCCCTTCCCCCATCAGCTTCCCGTCCATCAGCGACTACTGCAGGCCAGCAGCTGTCTGAGATACATGATTGCTCTCGTTTCTTTCTGTATGGACAGAAGCTTTAAACAGAGTCAGATCGAATCAAAGACAAAAATCCGGCTTATGCGGTTGTCAAATGGTCCATTTTCAAACCTTCCCCCATCGTCCCACGGCGCATCTTTCATCCCCACATATCCCTGCTGCTCCGGCGACAACGCCAACATCTCAAGTCTTTCGAGCCTCGATTTATCTTACCTTTTCAAGCCAAAACGGTCCCTGAATCTCACTAGTCTTTGATGACGAGTTTTAATTTTACACCGAACTTGGACACTGCTTGCTGACATGATATGTGCTCTCCATAGACGCCCACTTGCGCGCGCAGCTTGAGCTACTAAGCAAGCACACCGCGCCCGGCTCAACAGACAACGCGACCGGCCCAGCTCGCGGAGCTCGCCCTCAAGCTCCCAACCCTTTGACCGCGTCACCACCGCCGCCGGTACATGGCTATAGTAACGGCTCGACATCGCCCACTGACGTCTTGCCGCCGATAGTTAATAACCAGGCCGACCCGGAAGCGCATATCCACCCTGATCTCCGAGCTCGAATCACGCACGCTCCAGCCGTCAACATGATGCCCGCCGGTGTACCACCTCAACCGCAGCAGCAAATCGCGCCTCCGGTGACGACTGCCGGCCCTTCTACCGCGCCTCCTACCCATTCTCCTACAGAAATGGACTTGGACGACGGCGCAGAGGGTCGCAAAGCTAAGCGCGAATTGTCACAATCCAAGCGCGCCGCGCAAAACCGAGCTGCCCAGGTACGATCATCACAATGAGGAAGGGTAGTGCTGGGTCAATGGCGCGTGATATGCCTTGCGCATATCGCAGACGACTGTCGCAGTGCTCCTGATATATGGGACACTATTGTTGGCTCGTCAGCCAATCACTGCGATAGTGCCGATTGTATCCGGCGCGCCCACTTCAGAATTTCCAATGTGACCTAATCATGAGCTTGAGCTGACTTGAATGCGCCACAGAGAGCTTTCCGTCAGCGAAAGGAAGGATACATCAAGAAGCTTGAGCAGCAAGTTAGAGACTATATGGAAATGGAAGGACAGTACAAGACGATGCAGTCAGAGAACTACGCGTTGCGCGAGTACGTGATTCACCTCCAGTCACGCTTGCTCGATCTTCAGACCGAGATCCCTCAGCCGCCGCCCAATGTCAACCTTCAGCAACCTGCGCTCCCGCCCCCTTCGGTCCCGACAAGTGGGCCTGAAGCTCCGCCCACCAATGCGGGTGCTGGCCCTCTCGAAGCCGTTGCGCAGGCAGTGGCCGGTCTGCAGGCCCAGGAGCAGCTTGCGCAGAGAGACCAGTTCACAAGGCCCGAGGTGGTGACCAAGGAGGAGCCGCAACGTGAGCCTGATGGACCTGTTGACCCATCGCTGCCGGATGGCCTTCCGGCTCCGACTGCGTCCATGTGAGCGCGCCGAGAAAACGAGGACGCGTCGCATTTGAATCATGGTTTTCACGTCGCTGGCGTTGCGGTACAATGGTTTGTCAAGATATTACTAGTGGACTGGCGTTACCGGCATGGCTTCTATCCACCCGTTGTGGGTGTTTTGTTTGCAATGCCCTCGGGTTTGAGTTCTTCAAAAGAGAGATGATGTAGGGATTCGTGCTTGTAACACTGACACGAGAAGTGAAGAGTGTCGAACGGTGGAAATTTGAGGGCCTGATGGGAACTTGATAGGAATCTCGAGGCGAGCTCGGGCTTTGTCTTTGATTTTTGGTCATTTTGCCCCCCTCGATTCTACACGCAAATATACATCGAGAAAGGGGCCCATGGTCATCACCTCGGACAACGCTTCATTATCATGAAGCCAAGAGGAAGACCTAGGCATCGTTCGAAAGTCTCATTACAGATTAGTCTCCGCAGAAATTCTGTTTTGCATGGCCTTGTATTGGATGTCTTCTTTCTGATCCTCCCGCCCTCCGTCCCCTATCTAAGCGGCGCGATGTGACAAGGAATCGGTCAAATATTGCGCTCACGCGGAAATACAAATGGACGTAAGTCAAAGCATGTCCAAGTCGTGAAGGGATAGCAAAGCTTGGCTTGTTTCTTCATCAATAAAACTGGTGTGGCAGACTGGCACGAAGGACGTGTAAGATGTAAAGATAAGTTGACATAAAAAGCCCGGCATTTGAATTTCTCCCATCCTTTCTTTCCCTCGCCCCTTTAGACGTCCCGTTCCCTAGCCGTAAAAAAAGTTGCCACTGCTGCAAAGCGCCCCCCGTTCTGTGATCTCATTTTTCTCCCCTTTTGTTAAGTAATCATACATATGAAGTATTGCCCAGGTCATGCTCCTATAGTCAAATAATCTTAGTTTGTTTTTCTGGTTTCAAAAACAGGGGAAATGATTTGGGTAAACTCACCTTGAGATACTCGGAACCCTTCTCCTGATACTCCTCCCGCGTAATAGTAGCAGCCTTCCAGGCATCCGACCCAGCCCACCCGGCAGCGCCCTTCCACGCGTCGAGGAGGGCGTCCTCGGCGCGGCGGATGGCGAGCGGCGCGCCGGCAGGGAGAAGAGGCCTCAGGCCCTCACGGAGACGCTCATCGAAGCCCCGAAAGAGCGTGTTGCCGCCCGTGAGGAAGACGTCCTTTAGGAAATCGCCACGGTTCGGCACGCCACCCAGGCGCTGGTTGAGTATGTCGCCGACAATCTCTATCAGACCGCCCTGATCGACGCCGGCAATGGACGGCTGGAAGACGACCTCGGGCACGCGGATGCGCTCGACATTGAGGTGAATCTGGTTCAGCTCGGCCTGGGAGCCGGCGTCAAAGGGCCGCGGGCCGCGCGCAAAGGCGTGGAGCATCGACGTCGACCAGTCCGTCTTGGCCTCATGGGTGTCCTCGTAGCCGAAGTCCGGATCGTAGCGCAAGAGATCCTCCTCGTACGTCTTAAGGTTCGCCTCGAGGTTCTCCTCCTCCTGCTCGTCGTCGCTGTTGTCGCCGACGGTGATTTGGCGGTACACGCCCCAATCGTCGTCGTTTTGTCCGAAATTGTCGTCATCGCCGCCGCGGCGCCGCTTCTTGACCGGGTTGTCGGATGCGAGGTTGGCGATGCTCTTCATGCGGATCTGCGAGGCGAGCGACTTGCGGTTGCCCAGGTCCTGCTTGAGGCGCTCGCGCTCCTTCATCTTTTGCAGCGTCGCCTCGCGCGCCTGGCGCCTCTCCTCAAGCCAGCCCTCGAGGTCGTTCTCGCGGCGCTCCATGTCCAGCCGCTTCTCCTCCTCGACGCGGGCCTTTTCGGCCTCCTTCTCGGCCTTGGCGCGCGCGCGCGCGTCGTGATTGGACTTCATGAGCTTCTGCTGGCGCTTGGCCTTAAGGCCGGCGTCGTCAAGCTCCTCGTCTGGTACGTCGAGGAGGTCGAACACCGGCTCTTGCTGCTCCTCTGCAGGGTCACCGCCAACGTCCTTTGTGCGCGCCTTTTTGACCGCCTTGTCGAGGGTGGCGATGGCTCTCTCGAGCGCAGCCTCGTCCTTGAGGTCGTTGCTATCGAGCAACCGCCTAACCTCCTTTTTGTTGGTCTGCTGCTCCAGCTTGACCTGGAGCTTCTTGTACTGTTCAAGCTCGTTCTCTTTGCGCATAAGCTTCTCGAGGCGCATCTTTGCAGCTTGCTCCTGTAACCGCCTACCACTCTCCTTCTTCCGCTCGGCAATGCGAGCCAACTCCTCTTCCGTCTTTTGCACAATGACTTCCTCTGTAAAGGGGTACTGGATGACAATGTCCCGGTCTTCGAGGCCGGTCCAGTCCAAGTAGCCTCCTAACTCGGTATTGTAGTCTTTCGAAACGTAGGCATGGTCGCGGAGCATGTGCTCGGCCTGGGACACGTTGAGCTTCCCGTTGAAAGCAGGGTACTTGAGCCTGATGAGCTTCAGCAAGTACTCTGCCGCATGCCATCCTCCCCAGTTCAATCTTGTGGCTTGACTCAGCAGGGCTTTGTGGTTGTAGACAGGTATTACGTGTGTAGAGGTGTAGGATGACGAGACTACGATGCCCGTGTTTCCCTTATTGTGTGTGTAGGAGAAGAGGGAGTCAATGCCGTACGCTAGAGACGGCGCGCCGTAGCACTCGAAGATGATTTCGGTCATGGCTTCATAAATGCGTTAGCTATTGGTCTTTACATGCCGCGAGAGACCAGCTTACATTTACGGGAGTACGGCAAGTTGGCTACCGCCTCCGTCATGATAATGGGCATGTCGATGGATGCATCATCTCCGTTCAAGCCGAGCTTGAGAAAGATGTAGTCGAGCACATGCTCCATGACATCCCAATTGCTCACGATACCCGTTCCTTGCTCGTGCGCATAACGTGTGTGACTCCTCGCGGTCGTGTCGGCATAGCAGTCGCTGCCTGCAAAGGAATACGTCTTTCCGGCTTTTCGGTCGCGGTATTTGGCCATGATCGGTGGAATGTTGAGCCTCGGCGTCTCTTCAAACGACCATCCTGCGCGGACGGCCGAAGATCCTATCGACAGTCAGTCAGACAGCCGCTTCGCCATATGCGTTTTCGGAAACGCCTGCGAGCTTACCATTGTCGATTACAATGGCCGCGCCTCGGGAGGACTGCGCCAATGCCTTCTCCCGTCCATCCTGCTGTACCGGAATCGGCTTCTCGAACCTTGCTTCCTTGACTTGAAAGATCTTGGCTGGCGGGTATGTCCTCTCGGGAGGTCCTGGCAGAGGAGGGAGCTCGCCCGTAGCTGAGGGCGCCATCGCGATGTTCGTGTGTTGGGAAAGGTCTAGGATATCGCAGTGCGACGGACCATGCTTCGGGGATTTACGAGTAGTGGATGATGGAATTTGAAGCTGTACAGCTGGCGGCGTCTTCAATGGGAAGGATCGTTAAGGTAGGGAGCGTTTACGTCACGTGGGTCGCGTTCAATGCGTCTACTTGATTACGGTTGATGAAGTTGCGATGTGCCGTTGTTGCGAGGCTGCGAGGCTGTAAATTTCAGTGGACCCCTGCCGGCTTGTGCTGCTCGGGTTGCAGCGTAGCTACGCGATCTTAGCGTAGCAAAGGTAGTGATAGGTGGGTGAATCAAGTGCAACCAACGACTCGCCCCTTGGTGCAGTGTTCAAAATGGGAATGGTCATGATCACTTTCATAACTGCCAAACTTGCGACAGCCTTTATTATGGTCATTTGGAGAAGGGTGGGAAATGCGGTCAATTCGGGATTCTGAAGCTATCCTCCAGTTGTGGCTTCTCAGTGGGTATCTGCTCTATGGCTTGTGAAGTGCGCCGGCAATGTCATCAGTCTTGTCTCATTCCTCATCCATACACCTAGCACCTAACGACGAGTTTCGCCTCGTTCAGGCAGGCGGCTTCAGATTGTCCGTAGCTGGTCCAGCGTTAAAATTACTTCACTAAGGTCTGCATAGTGACAAGAAACGTACCCTCGAGATGGAACAAGACATTGGACTGGTAGTTCTTAAACATCTGAGCGACAAGCTCGACATTCATGTTCTCAATGTTGATCTCCTAAAAGCCGACATCAGTCACGGAAAATGGTAAGAATATAGAAAAGGCGACTTACCTGCAGTGACCTGTTCATGACCATGACGGCCTCGTTGAGTTTCTCCTAGGACAGTGTAAGTCGTGATAACCTAGAGTTGTTAGAGAGCGACGTACCACATTGGTAATGATGCGAGAAAGCAGCAGGTTCTGTTGATGCTCATGAGGACTCTCCTACTCTATTCGTCAACGTGTCTGTTCATCTGCACTGTGAGCGACTATGGTTGATATCATACCATTTTGTTGGGCACGCATATGTGGTTGTGGTGTGTTTGTTTACTCAGTAACAAGTACCCCACCACGGTCGTAGGTGACTTAACCCGGACAGCGCTTTAGGCACAACTCACCGACCTCACCGAGCTCCCACCCAGCGGTGAGCACAGGCAGAATAAGCTACCGGGCCACTGCTTCCTCGTGTTGCGCAACCAGCCCTCTGTCTCCAATTGATACAGCAAAGCCCTATTATCGCAGTCCGAAACACCAAAACCGTACGATACCACCTTCCAACCAAAATGGCGGCCCCGAAAGAAGCTACAGAGGCGCAACTAGCCCACCAAGCCCTCCTCGACGAGCTCGACATCCATTCCATCCATAAGAGCTTCCGCAACCCGTCCTGGAAACCCAACCAGCGCCGCAACAAGAACATCAAGACCATCCTCGGCGACGCCTCCCGCCGCGAGGCCTCGGCCCTGGCGACCCCGCAACAAGAGGAAGCCAGCGCCGCAGCCACGCCAGCGCGGACGACGCGAGGCGGGCGCGGCGGCGACGATGACGGCCTCTCTACCAGCGGCGCCTCGACGCCCGCCGCCGGCAACGGCAGCAGCAACAACAACGACAACAACCCGAACCTCGCGCAGGCCTCGCGCAGCCTGTCGAAGCTGGTTCTCGAAAAGAGCCTTCGTCCCAACGGCGGTGGTGCCGCTGGCGGCTCGGGCCCGAGTGTTACGTACACCAACGTCGAGTCGGCGCCGTCGCTGGCGCACACGAAGCGGTACTGCGATATCACGGGGTTGCCGGCGCCGTACGTCGATCCCAAGACGCGGCTGAGGTATCACGACAAGGAGGTGTTTGGGCTGATTCGGACTTTGCCGCAGGGCGCGGCTGAGCAGTATCTTGAAGCGCGTGGTGCGCATACTGTTCTCAAATAAGGGATGCCTCCTGCTTTACATCTTACGGGTGCATCTTGTGGATGGGTCGGACAACGCCGGCGGCGGCACGAGGCAGGATGCAATAGCTTTCATAGTTCAGGCGTTAACGGGGGTCAAGACTATGGTTATGAACCAAGTTTCGGAGTCACTGGGGTTTTCAAGCGGAATGAGTCTTTTTCAAGTCAATACGATGGTCATATTCCATATGAATCAGCTACTAGCTTGCGGGTTTCTATATATGTGCGACCAACAAAGTCAAATCTCAACTATGCAGCCCTGCGCCTTTCAGCATAGGGTGTTAGATGACACTCCGGCTTAATCGTGATAAACTGTTGTTCTTCGCCTGTGAATCGACAGATTACCGAGAACGTATTGAGAGACGATACTCAGTTGCCATAGCTTGGAGCTACAGCCGTCGCGGCGGAACTGCTATGCAGTTATGTTTTGCTTACCGTTGTGTTGTAGAGTCTCTCGACTTGCTCTAGTCCAGAACTCTAGCTGGGGATGATCTCGCTCATATATGCCAGAGCCGGTGGTATAGATGCCGTCTTCTTGTGTCAACATTGAGGGACGCTCATGTACCTCTATGGCAGAGCTCAAACGCTCCGTCGCGAGGTCTTCCATATATCTACTGCACCGCAATAGTTGCCTAGATGGATAATCTCATGAAGACGAAGCGATCTGAGAAACCAGTTGCGCCATGCAACACCAAACGTGAAAATGAAATGCTCAACAGTATTTCCAGACTATACTGTTGATGATCGTCCTATCACCAACTGGCCGGTCTGATGCGCGTGTCGTCGAAACCCTTAAGGCGAACTCAGTACTGAGTTGATGTTGAGGAAGCAGGTTGATTTTTCCAACTGCAGCGCGGGTTAAATCCATCGTGGGAAAATTGCACCCACGATGTAATTGGTCGACCTACCTTAGGGAACCCACATAATCTTCGTGGCTCTTGGTGCACTGCACCCCCAAACCCCCAAGACTTAGGTTCTTTCTGTGACGGCGCGGCCAAGCACTAGGAACTGCAGCAAAGACCCCTGCTCGCGTGCCAGCGGCCGGCACCTTTCCCCCTGGTGATCTGTTCTTTGCCTAGGTAATCTAAAAAAATTACGGCAGCTCAGTCCAACAGTCCTGCGTACGCCAATCCTCTCTCGCGTATCTCTCATCTTCTTTTACGCGATTGCAACGCCCTTTTCGGATCTCTTTGGTTGTATAGCTAGCTACCTACGGAAACAAGAACAAACGTGGCTCTCGAACGATCCGATCGATTTGAAGCCTCCCCCCTCTAATCCCACCACACCTCGAACTCGAACTCCAACGAAGCTAGGAGCATATACCCAAGATGTCGTCAATGTGGATGTCCGACACTCAGAGTACGTCTCTTTGCGCCGCCTAGCCGTCATGAGCAATACCGCACCGGAATCATATTGCGCAACTTGTACACCACCGTCAAGGACTGAAGCTGACCATTGTTCTCACAGAAATTGGAGTAATCTTCTGCTCCGGAGGTACGTTTGCGCCGTCGCCAGTAGCTCTCTGGCGCATTGAGTAGCACACATAGAAAATAGGATTCACAGGGGCTAACTTCTCTGCGCTTCCGACAGGAGGTTTCTTCCTCATCGGTGGAGTGATGCTGTTCTTTGACCGAGCAATGTAAGTCGTTCCTTGCGGATTTGGGCCTCGTCCTTTTGACTTTCAGAGCTAACACGATCCTTTCGCAGGCTGGCCATGGGAAACGTACGAAACTCCCCTCCTCCCTTCTCCCTGACCACAGACACCTTACGAATCGACAAGCCAACAATCTCCTACGCACATACGAACATAAACTGACCGTTACAATGAAATAGATCCTCTTCCTCATCGGCCTGACAATCATCATTGGACCCCAAAAGACGCTCCTCTTCTTCGCGCGGAAACAAAAGGCAAAGGGCACGGCCGCCTTCTTTGGCGGTCTCACCCTGATCCTGCTACGGTGGCCCCTGATCGGTTTCTGCGTCGAGCTCTATGGCATCATGGTTCTCTTTGGCGACTTCCTCGGCACGATTGCCGCTTTCGCGCGCAATATCCCCGTCATCGGACCGTATATCGGCACCGCGGTCGACCGGTCTGGCGTCGGTCGCCGGAACGCCGAGTTGCCCGTGTAGTTATTCCACTGGAAGGCAGGCATGAGATGTATCAACGTATGAATGATTTTGGGGGTCGCCACTGGAATGAGGAGGATAGCGTATAGACGGGATTGTATACCATAACGGCGCAGGTTGGGTCCTGAACCTATGATTTGATAAAGGCTTGTAATTATACGCAAATTTGTCTTCGGTTATTAGAGCCAGGGCGAGACCTTTGTCTAAAAACGACGAAATTCGCGCCAGGATAATGAATGAACGGAAAGATACACTTGAACAACCATTTGGCACACGTAGGATGGAAACACACGTCATTGACATACAGGGATTGGCGCATTTCGGACTCGAATGTAGCCGTGGCTAAGCAAAGATTCCGCCATTGGTAAACTCTTGCTAATCTAGTGTTCGTCGATTCGTATTGTCAACATCCTCGTGTGTACGCGGGAGCGAGATGCCCAGCCTGCCTCGCACACAGTAAACTCCAGGGGTTTATCTCCTAGAGTTGCAAAAACCCCCCCGCGTGCCCCCTCCTCTACGCCAACATCTCCTCCATCGGGCTGGTATTCTTAGTAGCTCACACTGACGAGGTAGTCTGCCAGCTTCTCCACCGCCAGAGTAGCGCTTCCGGCCTGCGCGTTCTCGCCGTGGTGGCCGAGAAGGATGGCCTGGGTTGACTTGGCGACAGCGATACCCTCCTTGCCCTATTCAAGTGATTTCAAGTCAGCCCTTCTGCGGATGATGTCGTGTTTTTTTTTTGTTTTTTTTTGCTTTCAGAGTGTATATGCTTCCAACCTTTCGTGCGTAAATGGCACCCTCCTCGGCACGGGCCATGACGTATCTCTCGCCGCCGATGAACAGACCATCCGCAAAGGCCTTGTCCTTGACGTCCGACTTTCCGGTAACGATGTCGGCAACGACCTTCATCTCCGTGGCGGAGAGCTGTATTGCGCAAGAGAGTTTGTCAGTAATGGTATGGATAGAGAACGATAGTTGTTCGCTGGTGATTGGAGGCGGGATCACATACGGTGAAACCGGCGCTCGACGCCCACGTGCTGTCACCGGCGATGCTGATGATGGCGGCCTTGTCAATGTGGCCGGTGCCGACCAAGCTACAGATCCCACGTCAGTTCTCCATGGCCCATTGCATATCTCAACAATTCCTCGCGATGCGAAAGCCGCGAAAACAAAAAGCTGGTGCAGAGCTACCTGGTGTCAACGTAAGCTGTAAAGAGAGATTGTCAGCTCATCCTGATGATTCTCGAGGTGGAGGGGTTTTCCCCTCGGGGTTGGCTTCTCCCTTCCCCTCTGTCTCTCCTGGGAGAGAGCTGCCAACGCCCGCATCGGCCCTTCGTGGGGGTGGGAGATTGCGAAGGTGAGTGAGCTTACCTTGCCACGACATGATGAAGGAAGACGGGAAGAAATAAGAGGCTAGTGCTCGCTGGTGCAAATTAACAAAAAAAGAGACAAGAAGCTTCTCTGTGTCGAAAGGGGGTGTGCAAAAAGCTCAAGCTTTGACGCGGTGTGGGATATGGAGGGGAGGAATTTCGGTTTGTGACTGTTGATGTTTCTTGTTCCTCTTTCCTGCCTGACGTTTGCCCCTCTCTCCTCCGAGGAATACCTTAGCAAACCAAATTTTAGGTCCAGCGGGCCGGGCGGGGTATCACGCTACCTGCTGAGAGGTCATTGCTGGCGCCAAAGTAGCGGTGCGGGGTACTTTCTTCAGCATCGCGGGCATCGTAGGCGAATACCTCTGTTTCTCGTTGCTTCCACCCCCCCGGGAACTGTGAGGTGCTTTGTTCAGGAAAGTCCAGCAATGTCATGCAGCTACCAAAGTAGGTATGTAGGGACTACCAAAGAGTTGCTGTACCTTATCCGAACATTTCTCACCATTTCTGATTCTCTTCCTTTTCGACAGCCACGGCTCAGCCTCGTCTGACGAATTCAATCCCCTATCTATCTACCTCTATCCGTGCCCGAGGTAGCTAATCCACTCGAGGGAGCTCAACGAGTCCACACGATCCGCCGGGTATTCCCATCACCGCCTTTGTAGCCATTACCTTGCCTCAGGTACCTTACCTTACCGCCTTACGTATCTTTCCACCTGGGTGCCACTTCCGGAAACTGCCCCGCCAAACGCATTGTTCAGTCACGTGATGGCGGGGTGACTGTGCGAGTTTGACGGAAGGAAGCACAGTACGGACACGGCATTGTTGGCCTCCACCCATTTGAGGGCCGTCACCGCCTCAGCTCGCCACGCTCAATGCGCCACGGCAGCGGCCTCCGTTCCCCATCTTCGCCAAGCGCAACACATCTCCGCCAACGGCCCGGCAGAGCTCTAGGCCGCAGCGGCCGCCTTCCTCTCTATGGTCGTTGTCGCTATCAATGACTTTGCTTTCCAGCGGGATCGAAGGAACGAAAAAGATGATCAGTTTACGGGAGGCGAAAACAGACGTGCAGAATGGTAAGATCAAGCGGAAGTAGTTACTTTATAAAGATATTTGGATCGTCCATGCAAGAAGGAGCGCATATTCCATGTTAGCCACCGTAACTACTTCAGCCCGACTTGCGCTCGACGTCTTCTACACTTATTCTATCCACCTACATGCGGTTAACAACAGCAGTCTACAAGCGGCGACATCGAGGACGCCTGGTCGACGGAAGTCCGTCCGCAATGCAGCTCGGAGTCGAAAGACGGGACGTTTCCGTCTTCAGCTCGGCCCTGCACAGTCGTAGTCGTCTATTCAACCGATCGGCTCTTTGAACCACTTGTCCCCATCACGCTGGGATCCAGGCTGGACAGCAGCTCTACAAGGCTTTGGCCTCTTCATCAGATGGAATACCTACCGCTCACCAACGTACACGTCCGATCATCTG